ATTTAAATTCGGAATGAACACACAAATTGTTTATAAACTAGGAGCCGATTTCACATTGTTTACCATATCTATCGAAATAATTAGTTTTTTGAAATTTTAGGTTTCAGTTCTGGTTCGTGTCCAAACTAATTGGCGAACTTTTCAGTTAATTCGAATTAAAATTATAAAGAAGTGTTTTAAATGTTTTTTTATAATCTTCTGTAACACTTTTACTGAACTAGACAGTATACATTATGGTTAACGTGATTATATGCTGACCACATCAGATTTCTTACAATATTACTGTTTACATGTTTTGCTCTTATTGATGTTACTGCTGTATGATTGTTCTTATATAAATGCTTTCAATTTTTGTGACTGGTTTTTTATGATTTTTTTTATGTTGGTGTTGTTTCCTTTCAACTTAAAATTTCATTTGTATGAAACTATTCTTTTGGGAATTTATGTCATGAAAAATCAATCATTTTGTGATAAAAAAATATATATGTATATGCTTATATATTATATTTCTGGTTGCTCGCCGGTTTTTCAATCTCTTCGTCTCTCTTCTTCTCCTCTGTAATTGTTATTAGTTTGTTATTTATTTTCTCTTTTTCTTGAAATTTCAGGTTTACTTTTATATTTTGTTTTTTTTTTTTGCAAAGATTTTTTACTTTGGCCTTCGATTGTGTTGAACGACAGGATTTTTCTATGATTTGAAGATCTTTGATAAATTTATTTCCTCAAAAAAAAAAAAAACATTTTTTTCTCATCTTGTATTTCTTAGACATTTTAGTTCAGTTGTACATTTCAACTTCTTTAAAAAAGCCCAAGAACAAGTAGAACAAGTATAAGAAACAAGGAGAGAGAATGTAAAAACTAGAAAAAAAAACGAAAGAGAATTAAAAAAATGATTGATGTCAAGCATGTTCATGCTGACATCTTTGTCAAATATTTAAAGAGATGAATGGAATTTTGATTGTTTTCGATTTGCTTTCATTCATTTGTTCTCTTCTATAGTACTCGTATAAATATTGTGTAAGTATTATACATATAAAGTATGTACATATGTAAGTGAAAAAAAAAACATTGAACACTAGAATTGAATAAGAAATATGTAAGTAAATTGTATAAAAGAATTAAAGTGGGAGTATTAGAGTCATATTTAAAGTACACAATATGTATTTTCTCTTTTACGAATGAATAGTTACAAATTATTTTAAGATTGTATTATAAAGCTATATGTATGAATACTGTGTTTGTACACAAACACAATAGGTATTTTATTATATTACATTTATAACAAAATCATATTAAATAGTTTAAAGATCAAATGAATTTTAAATTTATTGCCTATGAAAATTTGAAAAACAAAATTTAAAAAGCAAAACGGGGGTGAATATTTAAAAATTGTATTGATGTTTGGACTTTTGGTTCGGGAAGATGTGATATTAGAATGGAACGTCTGAACTTATTCGAAGAACTGTAATACAATCCGAAATGGTAATAATTTATTGTCGCATTCCTTATATTTCGAATTTCATCTTAGCCCTATACTTAGTTTCACAGTTCACGCTTATCCAGGATTATTTAAGGAATACACGACAGAAAATTTTCGCTGGTAGTACTGGTTTTCAATAGGGTTTAATTTTGGGATATTAATTATTTTCTATGCTTACCAAGGACATATTTGTCGAGACCACTTGGACTTCTTGAGAATAGTATTTTCTGCTTGAACGCGGATTTGGACTACACAAATGCCTGATCGATTACTAAATGATTGTCCGTTAATTCACGTAAATCTAAATGCTTTATGATATATCAAAAACCGATTCATACAGATAGTTTCACCACAGTTAGTATTTGAGGAATTCTTTTGTACTCCTTCACAAAATTGTGCTCGGCATGACTTTAAATCATACGTTTACTTGGGATGATCAAGTTCGTCTAATAATTAAGAAAGTTTATGCTGAAATCCGTTCGCTATAGCCCACAAACGATGTCGTGCCAATTTCAACCTGGGCTTTGCTGCCAAAAACGATGTTAATTCTATTTCATGTAATGACAAAGAAGAATAACATACGAATTATTTTTCCCAGGAATAACTACTTATTCACTAGTCACCAATTTTTCACGCGTTCAGTAAGACTTTGGAATTCGTTGCTGGCTACATTCTGGGGTTTATTCAATTCCACCTCCGTTAGCGAAATGTCTAGTGCTTTCTTTAGCTATCTCCAATCGGTATGATGGTTCTTTATATTTTTTTCTTTATTAGTATTGCCGATTAACTGTGTTAATTACGTTAATTTAGCATGTTTGAATGACTTAAGATGATAACTGCAGTTACGTGTTGTAATTAGATTGAGTTTTTACAAATGTGTGAAGGGTCTTTTTCAATTTCTTAAAAAGAACGTTGTAATAAAAAATTTACTTTCAATTAAATATTGATTTTCATCACAAAATTGTCACATATTTTCATTTAGGTAAGTTAAAAGCGTCATTGCTGAGAGTACTCTAATTTTGAAGAAAAAAACAAAAGCAAGAACAATTGAACCAGGTTAAAGTCGGAAAAGGAAAAATTTTTCCTAAAAACTCTTTAATTGAATTAAAGGTAAATTGTGCACGTTAAAATTTTTTATTATAATTTTTTTTTAAATTCATAAATGTCATAAGGTTATTAACTTTTTGAAAAGGGGTTAAATCTAATTTATAATTCCATATAAGCATAGTAAAATTTTGAAGGGTTAAAATTTTTATACAATACGCAACTAATTTTTCATAATTTTATTGTTTTTTTTTTTATTATGATAATTAAAATATGAACTAATCCTTTGAATCAGATGTATGAACACGAAATTTTATAAAATATGACACGAAAATTTTTTGTTGTCTTGGGGAGAATTTCAATTCATGGTTTATCTCAAATTGTTTTCATATACAAATATGAATTTATTTGTTGTTTACGTATGCGCTTATGCTCGCGAGTTTTTCTTTAACGTTTTCCATACATAATACGGTTCTTAAGTAATTAGAATTAAATTTATATTTGAAAATTATGTTAAAGGTATTTGCCCACCCCCCTCAACTATTAAAGTTTAAAACAAAATATATTTTTTCAATTCATAAAAATCTTAAATGAACTTAAGAATGGAAAGTCTCAATTGTGATCTTAAGTGCAATCTTTACTTAAGGCCTTCTGTGAGGTGGAAAAAGGTGTTTTTATATTATATTCCTTCTTGCCCAAAAAATATATGTAATTTCTCTCTCTCTAACTATCCATATTAAATGCCCAAACAATAGTTTTTAACTTGTGTCTAATTTGTTGTAGAGTCTGCGGTATAGAATTTGGTTAACATGAAATTGACAGTGATTTTGTGATATGCAAGTGGCATTGCTAGTTTGCAATGCCACTTGCATATATGCAAGGAGTACAATATCACGTACATTCGTTTGGTCCATAAGATTTTTTTAGAGTTTTGTAGTATTCATTACCAAATTATTTTTATCAATTACTACTGGAAAATTACAAGGAATTTATTTTACTTTATTTTCATAATAGCCTTAAAATCAAGAAAAAATTTCTTTAATAGCATAAGTTATTAAAAAAAGCTTTTAGAGAACCCTTTTTTTTTTCTCTTATTTTCAATTTAATGTAGCACATTATGGTAATCATAAGTTCATTAAATTTCTTAAATTGAATAAAGGATTATAGACCTTCACCTATAAATTTAGCCTAAAAAGAAACAACCATTTTAGAAAAATAACTCATGCGTTTTCTTTCGCACTACAAGTCTTGGAAGAAAAAATTTATTCTAAGAAAAAATTGGATTTCTGCTTTTTCTTTTTCACAAAACTAAAAATAAATTTCAGAAAAATTGGAATGAAATTCCCATAAAAACTTGAACCTATATTATGAGTCCCTAAAGGATATTCAAAGAAAACAAAAACAAAGTAGATGATCCTTCCACATAAGTATATTCCGTTTAGATGGTCTTCGATATAATCATAAATCTTGACAAATATTCGAACATAAAATTAGATTACCTATTTAATTAAATTAAAATATGTATATAAACGTTATTTATTTATTTATTTATTTTTTCTTCTGTATCAGAAATCTTGTTTTAAAAATAGAATCGGAAATTCAATGTAAAGTACAAGGTATTTCACTAATCGATCAAATAACGTGAAAATTCGAAAATACTTCATATGTCTCCATATTGAAATTAATTTCGATATTTGAACATATTCGATATTCGAAATTAACTTTTTTTTCGAACATATTCCTACAAGTTTAATTTTCGAATATGTTCGACTTTTTAATGTTCAAATAAATTTCGATTTTCCAATATTTTGTCGATGTGTTGGATTTAAATTCGATTTTCAAAAAAAATTCAATAATTTCGATATTCGTACATATTCGATAATTAACGAACTAATTCCGAATTTCCAATCATTTTTTACAATTTCGATTTTCGAACGTATTCGACAGAATCGGACTAAATTCGATTTTCGAACATGTTCGATTTTCCAAAGTTATGAAATTTTCTGATAAAGAAAAGGAATGAGCCACTACAGACCATTTTGATTTAATTTTGAATAGCAGCCTGCATTTACTCATTCCGAAAGGATTTTTTAGAAAGGGAGAAAAGGGTGATATTGTTCGTATGAAGTTTTTAATCGGTAAGGAATGACGTATTGTTGATTTTTAGTAGCAATAATTAATTGGGGTTTAAAATTATTACTCAAAGACATTATAAAGATTTGGCCGGCAGGCGGCCAACTTGTTTCTTCCATTATAATAAAGGAAATTTTCGTCAAAATTATTACAGATGGGTAAAAGAAAGTACCGTTTACTTCCCTTGGACAAAATCAAAAATATTAAAGAATGAAAATAATTAAAACCGACAGGAGTACACATTTTAAAAAGCTGAAACCCTTTGTTTAAAAATTTTTATTCAAATAAATATTTTCTATTAAAAAGAATTTCATTTTATATAAAATATATATTGAAAACTTACCTATTAATTTATGGAACTCTTTATGGGCAATAAAAATGTCTAGATATCCATTAACAAAATTCAAATATTGAAAAATTATATTCCAAGCAACTAAAAGATATCGCCTCCAAAATATTTCCATTTCACCTCTTTTTTGTTTTTTTTTTTTATTGTTTTTTTTTTCTCTTCCTTTTCTTTTTTGATTTTATGCTATTATTATTGTTTCTTTTATTTTGTTTTTGTAACATAAAAACTTTTACCGATTACATGACCTTAAAATTCAGGTGACATTTTTACGATATAAATTACGATATTAAATTATTATTTATGTTTTTGGTTTTTTTTGTTTGTTTGTTTATTCTTATTTTTTTTTATTCATATTTTATATCATAATATTGTAATTTACACGAACAGGTAAAGTAAAAAAAAAAAAAACAAAAAAAAAAAAAATTAAAAAATTTTTGTATTGAATTATCGGGAAAAGTTTTGTAATAACCAAAACAGCTTTATTTTATTTTTGAAGGAACAGGAAAAGCGAATATAGGAGAAAATTTTATTTATCTGAATAATAAGTTTAAGGATTTTGTGACAATTGAAAATAAAAAATGTAATAATTTTTGAAAATAATTGGTGTTGAAAACCTAAGAACGTAGGAATAAGAATAATTAAATGTTGAATTTTCATGCAATGTAAGGAATATGAAACCAGTGTGTTTTTGTTTCTGTTTTTGAATCCATGAACGAGGAAATTACAAAAGAATTAAAATTGTGGTTTTTGAAGAAAAAAAAATGTGTTTTGATAATACAAAGAAATCGTGCTTCGGGTGAATTAATCCAATTTTTGGGTTTAAATTCAAAATAAATTCTAGATTTTATGCATATTTTCGGGTTTAAGTAAAAGTTGATTTAACAAATTCAGTACAACAGTTCAATATTAAACAAAAAAAAAATCAGTACAACGCAACTGTAAAACTAATAAAATTTACCTTAGGCAATTTTTACATTGAACTACAAAAATATTTTTTCTATGTTGACAACGCGAACGTAAAACAACTAATTTATCGATTTGATTTCGAATTGTGTCAGCAATTTTTCAAAGAAATTTATCCTTAAAGCGTTTTTGAATGTGTTCTGATTTTGGTTTTGGTTTTATGTGTTTTTGTTTTATGTTTTCCAGCCAGATGCAGAGCAAATCAATCGGGATATGGTAAATATGTCAACTTTAATAAATTTGACGAAAAAAATAAGCTTCAATAAGGAAATCTGATGCCTCCCTCAACGGGTCTAATTCTTTGCAGGAAAATTGTAAGATAATTAAAATTACAATATTATTGGAATGCGAAGTATGGAATAAATGTCAAATATAGAGATTTCTTTGGATCTTTACTGCAGCCCCGGAAAAAAACTCCTATATATATATGTGATTTTTACCGCATTGGCTACGATTCATAACATTGGTTATCTTAAACGAGAGAGAGAGAGGAAAAACAAAAATCAATTTATATTTTATAATCAAACATAGTGACCCTAATTTTTAGAGGTAACCAAATGATTTTTTCCCATTTTATACAAAATGAATAGCCAAAAAAAAAAAAGGGCAAAATGTCAACAAATATTCTTAGAAAAATTTTCTTAACTAAACTGCTTATCTTAAAATATAATATTCTTGTTACAAAGATATCAAAATTTTTATATTAAAAATAATAAAATACGTAAAGGTCACATACGAATAGTATCCATTTGGTTTCTTTTTTTTTGTTTTTTTTTTTTTTTTTTATCGATTGCATTGTATTCGATACGGGAAGTATTGAGATAGCAAAATATTTATTGGTCTGTTTGTGTATTCGTGGATCTAAATTCAGTTTTAACTGAAAACTGATTTGGATTATGAGTATCTTGCTTTAAGGACGCGACAAATATTGTTCAGATTTAGTATTCGATTTGGTCATAAATTGTAGATTTTTCAAGAGGCAAGAGGACATCTCCACCGAATCACCGCAGCCTTTCGCGGCTTATTATAGCCTTCCCAAGCTCTGCTTATAATATCCCTGTACCGACTATTAGGGATTGAATAGCAGTTCAGTACACTCAGTACCGGCTAGTGACAAGGGATATTGAAGGCAGTTTCGTGAAAGTCTCCACAAAATCTGCACAAGGTAAAGCTCGCATTTTCTAACTTATGCAGGTGATATTTAAGGTGCCCGGTAAAGAAATTCGATCCATCTAAAATCATTCTGCAACTTTACCAAGCGTGATGGAAACAAGTATGAGCTAACAGATTTTCCAAGAACATCTTGATTTTTACAAGAGATTCTACGTTATTGACCATATCTAAGATCACAATTTAGAAAATTTCTGAAATTTCATACTCATTATTTTTTTTCTACAGGGATGAAGTGAACAAACATAACTTAAATATTCTTTCAGAAATCTTCTATAAACTACATTTACATTTTTGCAGGCCAATGAGGTAACTCTTTTCGCTAAACCCTTTAGAAAAGAGAGAAAACCCTTTAAAACACTTTAGAAAATAATCATTGCGACCGCTTATATGCTGTCCTAATCATATATTTTTTACTTTATTTTATTACAAATTTAATATTGTAAATATGAAAAAGTTTTCCATATATTATTGCAGATATCATTGAAATGGGCAACAAACTCTCATACATATAGACAAAGATAAAATGAAAAGAAAACAAGCCCTTGAAAAAATATTTACAATTTAGATGAAGATATTTGAAAATTTGTGAATAACAAAAACAAAAATAATTTTTATCCTTCTTAGAAAAGAAAAAGAAGATCTTTATAAGAAATAAGGGATGAAAATTAATACTTTTTTTTTGTGAATAAAAACTTCTTAAATATTTCATTTTCAAATCAAGTTTTTTTTTGGACATGTAAAACCTTCCGGCTTTTATGATAACTTAAAAACTACAAATTTGTAGTGTTTTTTTTTCATTTTTCTCATATTTGAGTTTTTATAATAATTGGATGATATGAGCCTAATGTTTATTTTCATAACTACATTAGTATAGTAGGCTTTTAGGGGCTTTCAAGAGAAAAAAGAGAAAAAAAAAAAATTGAAATGAGAAATAAAAATGTTCATTTAGGGTTATGAAATTGATGTGCTGGGTTATGTGTTGATTGAACCTATTTGTTGTTACAGAATCATCTGTAAGTAGTACACTTACGTGAAAAATTAAGTAGACAACAATAGCCAAGAATGTGTGTAAAGTTTCTAAAAGAATTTGTTGAAATTTACCAGTTATAAGACTTTATTTGTACATAATCAGTAGATAAGTGAAAATCTGCTTTTATTCCTTCGTGAAGAAAAAATTTTTCTTTCGTTTTTCTTAGTAAATTTTTTCTTTCCTGTCTTGTAAAGCCGGCGTGAATGTATTGAACTGATGTGCTGTCGTCTAATAAATTTTAAACAAGAGTTCATCAATGTTCATCAAACTCTAGAATGAGGTAGACAGCGAGGGATCGTAGTTATAAAGTTGCCGTCTTAGATTGCGGTAGGCCAGAAGCTTCTGGGCGAATATGTGTAAACCATTAGGAATCGAAAGGAAAGTTTCCTCAGGAATGCTTGCACATTGAAAGAACGGTATGTATGTATGGTCTAAGAATTTTTTAATAAAGTGTATTTGTAAAATATTAAATAATCTGTAAATGACCTTTACACTAGCATAATTTTGGGTATACTACGTGGTAATATTAAAAAGAATAATTTATAATAAGTACTTATGTATATAACACATACCTACATAAATATATCTTAAATAAATAAAATATCCTTTAATGGTTGACTGACTCAAATGCAAAGAAATTTTGTTTTGATCAAAAATCATTTATTAAGATAAAATTTTTGTAAACCTACACAAAAAATATTAACAAAAAAAATATCTTAAATTTAAAATTATAATAAAAAATTATGAAATTAAGAAATTTTTTTAAAATTAAATTCCTTATTGCAAATTTTCAATAATAAAATAAAAATTTATAATAATTTTTTTTCTATAAAATATTTGGAACATTTGGACAAAATGAATATTTTTTTTTGAGATTAAGAAATTTTTAAAATATTGAAATTCTTTTTTATGTTTATTAGCTAAAAAGTTAATTTTGGAAAGAGTGAAGAAGATAAAGGAGAGAAAAGAATTCTGATGTGCGCAGCACATAACCGACCCCACTGTTAAATTTTTCCATCAGATTATGAAAATTTCTTTTACAGAAATAGAAATATAGAATAGTAGGCTTTAGTTAATCTATCTAAGTCAACCAGTTCCTCAGATATGGCGAAAAATGTCCAAATCAACCCCGAATTCAGTTTACGAGCCCTAATATCCCTAAAAAATTAAATGTCATTTTTGTACCACTGTGAGTTTAAATATTAAATTTCCAGTAAATTGGTTGATTATTTCCCCACTCGCGGAGAACTGACAAAAAATTAGGTCATTTGTTGTATTGGCCGTCGGACCTTGATATATATAATTTCACGAAAATTCGCTTGTTATTTCATTGAAAATAGTCGAAAAACGTAAATATTGCCTTGTGAAATTGTAAAAATCCAGCTCCAGAGAACTGACTCATATTGAACTGAATATCTGAAAATTTGATCAAACCGTTTCATTTTCAAAGTAAACTTAAACATAAATTTTCTTTAAAATAGATTCAGCCGAGCTCGAGATACTTTTCTGCAAAAGTATTTCTGTCTGTCCATTTTAGACAGTAAAATAAGTGTAAAGCCGGCAAGAATGTATTGAACTGTTTAATATACTGTAGTCTAGTAAATTTTAAATAAGAGTTCTTTGATGTAACTCAAGAAGGAAATAGATAAGGAGGGATGGTAGCTATGAGGTTGCCGTCTTGAACTGCGGCAGGCCAGGATCTTTTAGACAGTAAAATAAGCAGACAGACAGGCAAACAGAACGACACACATCCCTCCAAAAGTAGTTTATTTATGCTTCCGTAGTATGTAAAAACGTATTTCCGTCGAAAATTCAAATTTTGGAATTCGGTGCCATCACATCATTTCCCTTGTTGTATGCAATACGGTCGGTAAAAGAGAGAAAAATAAATTTTGATCTCTAAAGAAACATTTATACTCTGTATAGTTTAATTTTCATTATAAATTTATATTGAATATAATAAAATGTGGGTGTGTGTTTGTGTATTTTGTTTCTGAAAGAGGTTCTATGCCAGAGAGAGGTACATGTATACTGTTATAAATTTAATTGCACTTGTTGTTAGTGTTTATTTGTTTGTTT